TCAAAGTCTTCCCACCGCCTGCTGATTTCATTAACTCTCATGTTTGGAGAGTCCTCTGCGAGCTTTCCAATACCTAAAGCTTCTCCCAATTCCTGTTGAATTTTGTTAACATTGTTAGCAAGGAACGTGTACCAACTGTCAGCATTTTTGGGCACGAGATCATCCGTAGCAAATTGTTTGGAGATACCTGTCCAAATGGAATCTGTCTTGGGGGTTACAGTTGCATCAACACGAGACATAAGATTAATCTTATTCTTGAAAACACTTTCCCGGATTAAGGAACAGTCAAGCTTTCTTGGACGTCCTCGTTTTCTCTTTTATGGTGACATTATTTACGGTTCAAACTATATTTAATGGGACTAACGCAATACAAATAGTTAATGTCACATGCGGAGAAAAAACTAACTAATAAATCTCCGGGAAATACGAGGATAAAGACTAATTCCTGACGCAAATGCCGCCAACTCATGAAAAATAAAACCGAGAAAATGGTGGCGCAGTGTGCCATACTGAGAGGGCATTCGACAAGTGTTCTCCACCGATCAAACCGAAAATGTTTTATCTCCGGGAGTTACTCATGCTGTTCCCACAGTCCGCGTGGGAAATTCGAACTCACACCCAGCCATTGGGGAGTTCAAGAAGACTCTTAAAAGATTCTTAGTTTAATATACTAAACAATCCATTGATTTATTTACTATTGAAAATTAAATTTTATTTATTTTTATTTTATTCATTGCTAGAATTGAACAAAAATAACATGAGCAAAACTTTTTAACGACATATAAAACCCGCTCTGGATTATATTTAAATTATTCAATATCAGAAGTGCAATTTCATGATTTTAAAAATTAATTTTCCGCTAGCCTTATAAAAATGCAAAATTCATAAAACATTTTACAGCTAGTTATGAGCTAACTTTATATACCTGCAAAAAAACTCTGCTGATGCCACTTTTGAAAAGCAATGCATTACTGTCAACTTTTTCATAAGTTAGCAGAAAAATTATCTGATAATGAATTAAATTTGATTCGCAATATTAGACAATTCAAAGCGAATAAGGAGCTCATTTGTTCTGTTTTAAAGACATTTTTTGCTAATTTTGCTCATTATAAGTTAGCTGAAAAATGATAATGAAAGAACGCAAAAATCATTTTTCACCACCGAATGATTGAAAGCTCATTATAAGCTATTTTGCAATACCGTTACAAATTTTTTATCTAGGTTTATTTTTAAAAAAAAACGTGTTCCTGCTACTTTTACCGGAAGCTGGCAAGGAATTCCGGGAAAAATGAGCAAAATCTAAATTTACGATATGAGACAATGAAAAGCTAATTAAGAGCTAATTACTTGCATTTTCTATTTTTTTTTCTAATATAGTGTTTGCATAAGTCGCTGAAAAGTGGAAAAATTTACTAAAAAGCTGTTGAGCAGAAATGTTTTGAAAACATTACAAATCCGCACTGAATGAGTTTTGCATATTCCAGTAATGAAAATCTAATTCTGCCTAATTTATTGTAATTTTTCCTGCTAGCTTACAAAAAAGCTAGCATGAAGACGATTTTTGGAAAAAATGAGAGCAGTAAAAAATTTTTGGAAAAAATGCAATGAAATTTTCTTTGATTCATAAGCATGCAACTGCACCTTTTCAGGGAAAGAGAAAAAAAAATAGGAAAAAAAGGAAAATTTTTTTAAATTGTAAGGAAAAATAATTTTTGAAAATTTTTCGAGACGTAAATCATGAGCTGCTAATTAACATTGAATTCTCAGCTACTGAAACCTCTATTTTTAAAAATTCCAGAGTCATTCGCCCGCTAACTTACGCTAAGTTACTAAGAACGCCATTTCTGCAAAACTGGACTAGCCAAATTTCTTATGAAAATGTAAGAAATTAGCTCTCAATTAGCTTAACATTATCCAATGTCGCAAATCAGATTTTATCTGTTGGATTATTGAGTTTATTTTATTTTCAATAGACCATTACAAAAATGAGTCGATACGGATGTTGACTGAAAGTCACTTGAGAAGCTACATAAACATAAACCAAGATTTCTGAGGCAGACAGAGCAGAGAGTTCTTTCATTAGGTGACGAATTTTGTAATAGGTCTTTGTGATTAGTTTTCAGTCTCATGGAGATCCATAGAGTACAGACGTTTTCCTTGCTCGTGCCATTTTAAAGAATAAAAGAATTTAAGTTTAATCCACGGCATTAAATAATTATTTATGTCTTCCATTTCTAATATTATCCATTTTTTAATAATTTTCCTGCTTGCTTACGGAAAATGTGGCAGGATCGTGTTTTTTTTTAAATGGCATCAGCAGAAAATTTTTTGAAGGCATATAAAATTAGCTCATAGTCAGCTGCGAATTATCCAATATTGGAAATTCGATTCTGCTACTTTCAAATGCCAGGTTAACGTACGTTTTAAAATTACCTATTTCCTGCAATAATCCGATTGATTGGATAGGTCGTCCGATGGAATTTCGTCTTCTCATGATTTCTACAATGCATATCGACTGGGTCATCTTCACGAAAACATTGATGCTCTTTTATGTAACCCTCCTTGCTGTAAATGTTGTAGTAAGGAAAATAGCGTTGACAATTCTGTAAAAAAGTAGTTTTAAAAACAATTTGTACTTTAACGATCATGATTGGCTTAATCTTCGAGATAATGATTTCACACTTACAACAATTATGCAATTTAAGGAATCTGATCGTGGACCTGTCTGAGAGTAGATCTCTCATTTTTATTCTGAGTTCAAAACTTATCTTCTTCACTGGAATTCTCTTGAATAGAAGAACGGATTCCTCTTCCGCCGTTGGAAATTTCCCAATCGTAATGAATTGGTTTATTAGATGGTCATTCCTAAGAAACTCGTTGCAGAAATCATTTCTTCTCTTCATAATTCTCCCTCTAGTGGACATTTGGGAATCAATAAGACTCTCACGAAAAACCGTCAACACTTTTATCGCGCTACTTGAAAATTTGATGTCGAAAGTTGATGTCGCAAATGTAAAACGTGTACCTCCAGGAAAGGTCCTCATATTAAAATGAAAGATGCATTTTAAATTATTAGATATCACATTATCAATTTCCGGCCTTTATCAGCTGATCTATTGAGCTGTGATTTGAATTAACTGGTGTCGGTAAATCACTTTCCTTGTTCTACTATATTAATGGAGGTGAGATTACATGCTTTTTTGGTGAATCTATGGATAACTTGCAATATGTATTGAATAAATCCATTATTTTTAATTAATCAAGTATCCATCAATATAGCGATCATGTTGATTTGGTTACTCCATTCTCCAATGCAGAACATTAACAAATTCACAACGTTATAAATTTATAAAGTTGGTTGTTTTCTATTTGGAAGATTAGCTATTGAGTTTTTGCGAAGTTTCTTCTAATCGTCTTCAGGTAATCGCCTCATCTTTGCTGTTACTAATTACTTCTCTAGGTGGTCTGAAACAATACCTGTGCCTAATCACCGGAGTCAATAACCCACCAGAGTAGCTGATGCTGTGGTCATGGATGCCATTTCTCGTTTTGGTATTCCCTGAAAATTCATTCGGAACAAGGTCGATCTTTTGAATCTTTAGTTTCCCAAGAAGTTCTGAAGTTAGTAGGTATCCTAACGACTAGGACTACTCCAATGTTACCAATGTTATGGTAGAGCGCCGAAATAAAACTCTCACAAATTATCTAGCAAAATACATAAATTTCTCACAGAAAGAGTGGGACAAAGGGATTCTCCTTTTTCTTCTTACATTCCCCTCCACTACACAAGAGACAACTGAGTATACTCCAGCAATATTAATGTTGGAATCTCAATTCCAGGTTGCACTGGAATTGATTTGAGGTTGCATCCCTAATTCTTCCCAGCCTCCTCCCGATTATGTAGGCTCTTTTAAAGATTAGCTGGATTAAATTCATCACTATGTAGGTAATAATCTCCAGATAAAGAGCCATCGAACAAAATTAAAATTCTATATCAAATCACACATAATTCTATTCTAGACAATAAGTGTCATCTATTTTTCCTTTATTTTTCCTTTTTAATTGAGCTTGATTTTGTTCCATTTTTCTATTTCCTTTTTCAGATTCATCTAATCAAGATAATCTTGACTTGACATGTCCCCCCACTCTAACTATGACCTTAACGTTAACGAAGTTCCTGACTTCTACCATAAACGTAGTTCGAGTCAAGTGCTATACGGTTTTGCATTTTCTTTTTGGGTTTTAAGAGAGAATATGGATTAAGTGTCCCAGATAACTGAAAATTTATTCGAAGTTGTAGAGCTTATTTCAAAAATCATATCTCTAACGAGCATAAGCTCTTCTATTTCAAATCAATCATTCCAACAATTGCCAATTTTCAAAAAACTTCTAATATGTTGCAATTTGTTCAAATAATTACGTCAAAAATGTCCCTAATACTGAAGAATACCTGGGGCTTAATAAATAATATTCATTATAATATTAAGGTGAAAACTCAAATTAAATGTCAATCTGTGAGGTTTAAGTATGAGGAATAGAATGAAATTTAATTGAATTCAGGTTAGAGAAACACAATGGCTGTGTTAACATCAATTAATGTTTTTTAGAGTTAATTTTCACAGAGGAGTATTCAATGCACTCAATGACATGGATAGGTATTGGTTTTATAATTTTGTATCTGGAAACTTTAGAAAATGCTAGCATTGCAATCGTTTTTGAAATATTGTGAATCTTTTCCTAACATAACAAATTTGAGTTCTAGTGATAACTACATATTTTGCTCGAAATGTTAACTAAAATCAAATGAGTTGGTTAAATATCTAATTTTACTTATGGTGACCACATACTGACCGTGGTGAAGTTTAACTTGTGACTTTTACTACCGTTTAAAGTTGAATCTTAGAATTAAAATATTTTTTCACATGATTATTAGTAAGCTGATTTAATGTCACAAATCGTGCTGTTATTTGAAAAATTCTCACATTCTACTTTCTTTACAGTTGATCCTGTATTTTGGAAATCTCGTTGCTTCGTACTTGCTGTCGTTTTGTGTATCCGTTACTTTGGAGGCACCAATCGTAAATTTGCTGAAGATTGGTTTGGATTCGAGGAAACGTAGCAGATGATGGATAGACAACACGGGGAGTGGGGTATCATCGCAAAATCGAATGATAGTGACATGAAGATCACAAATACCACATCCATTTAATGTGCATGCAAAAAACAGAATCAGAAGCTAACAAAATTATTTTAGACGTTACTTTTCAATCATGTTAACTCTACCCTGGCGGACCACTCGATAGGGTGGAATCGAGTTGTGCACTGAGTCGATAGGTGTTCGAGATTGAGTCGATGGTAATGTGGATCCACAGTGCACAACTCGATTCACTCTATCGAGGGCCTATCGAGTAGATCCCGAATGGTCCGCCAGGGTAGCATGGAAAACTTTGATTACAACGTAACGCTTCAACGATATTGTAAAATATTTAAGTTTGATGTCTGAAAAAAATTGTAAATGATTCAAGCTTGAGAAATTTTTAATACCTTTCATTTACCAATCCCACGAGTTTTTCTATATTGATTGTTTTGAACGATAATAATGGGTCATGCACGTAAACAAGCAGCATAAAGCAAGTAAACAGCTGAACAAGCTTTTTTGCCGTTAATAGAAGGAAACCGTCCCTCAATTTACCAATTCCGTCGACAATACCTGCCAAATGGTAGCAATTCTAATTTCCACAATTATCCATCAAGTAATACCCAATAACATTTGTTTCCAGTTTAAAATCGTATAGAGATGGAACTCATAGAGAAAATATCAATTGACATTTTTTTTAACGAATATATTATTCAACACACCTGCACAGAAAGTGCACACTTTGCTCCCTGATGAGCAGGAGGAAAGTGAGTCTCTCCCACCCTCGGGTAGAAAAATGGTGCCGAGGTCGGAAAGTTGAAACTTTACATCTTAATTATATAATAGTAATGACATTATATCGATATGACATGAAGGTGCAATGGCCAGGCTTTAATCTGGTGTCAAATCAAAGCGAAGAGGCATTATCGATAAGGGTAATGTCTACGGTGAACACCATTGCCATTGTTCAGCAAATACACACCGGTGCCAGAGAAGATAGCACAGTATGACTGAGAAGATCCACATATTACTGTTGTTCCGTAAGCTCTCGTTGTAGAGGCTCTGACGGCATTTGACGACCATCGACGTACAAGGATATGATTCAGAGTACAATATGAAAAGTTGAAGGGGTTAAAGCTTTCATCACTCACAAATGCACAATAGTTGACCAACATAAAGATGATGCCTTTTGGAAGCTGTCCTGTTATAAAGTTATTCAGTGAATGGCCGCGAACATCTTTGTTGGTATTGAAACACTTTTCAGTTCCACGCTTGTAACAGCATATTTGGCGGTTGTTTATGATAAAGCCCTTTGGTGGGATAATCATAAGGGCCCATGTTCATTTTCCGGATTCTGCTCCAAATTAACAAATAGACGGATTTTTAATTTATAAATTATTGGGGTGATTCGTCAGAGGAATGTGAACGGCCACAATTATCTATCAGTTGGACTTCTATCCCAATTAAATTATTAATTTTTTTTAGTTGCGTTAGTTGACAGCCAATTGAAATATGCTCGTGTCGATGACGAGCCAATTATTTTATAATACGGCTTCATCACCTGTTGAGCATTTGTGGCCACTGCCTCGTCTAGTCAAGACTCGAACCACGAGAGTCACTTTACCGACCGAGCCACATCCAGTCAGGAAATCTTCCAACCCCCTGAGCGACCTCGCATGATCGCTCGGGAGAGAAAGCAGAAGCTCATCCCTCGCAGCCTCGCGGACTGACTACAGCTGTAGCATATTGTTCTTACAAGTCTCTTTATATTATCTAAGTTGTTATTTATATTATTCTGGCTTTTATAACAATAAATATTGTTTACTACGAACAAGTCCAACCTTGAACATTTATGTGGTATAATACTTAACAACCACACATTATCGTCCGCCATTAACGACACTTCTCGTTTGGACCCCTTTTGCCAGCGGCAAAATTGTGTGAGCGCTCAATTTTCAGTTTTTTGTGAACGATTTTAACGTTATCGAGACCACGGTGGCGACGAAACCATTTTGAGGGATTTATTTGCTGCTTTTCCGGGACTTGTTGGATACGATTATCGGTGAGCGGTCGATAGATGTGCAGTAATTTATTGAATTAGAAGCACTTTTGAATTTATATAACGTTGTTAGTTTATTGGACTAATTGTCCATGGCGTTTAACGCCATTTTGAAGTGTTCAGATTTTTTGAGTGGTTTAGTTTTTTCGGGACAGTTTTTGAAATTTTGCTGAATTTTTTTCTGTTCTTGTTTACTAGTGGTTATTTTTACGAGTTTTTCTTTAATTGACAGATCTGTGGTTTACATTAAAACTATTGACGACTATTATCTTGCCTAATTTTCAGTTTGGGTTCTATTATCCCTCAAATATCGATTTTCTTTTGTCTAGCGATTACAGGAATCTCGAACTCAGTGTCCTTGTGCTCGAAGTTTCAATTTTATTTTTATCGTGATGCGTGAAGCCACTTATATTTTTGGAATAAATAATCGAATATTAAGGCTTACTTTACAGCATTGAAAGTGGGTTTCCAGTGTTTGCCGACTCTCGAGCTATGTATTTGGCGGGTAACCCTGTCTGTTATGCTTGGTATTTATTTACATTCTTTCGAGGCGTTCCTCCGCTCAATTGCTGAACATCCTTTTTGCTGCATTGAAGAACACGTTCATTTCTTGTAGAAATTGTAGATTCCTTTTCGTTATCGGTTTCTAATTTTTTTTTGCATTCTAGAATCGCGTGGAAGTGAAGAAAATGATGAGTCCCTACACACAAACTCGTTAGACTCGATGCTGGACCATACGACATTGTCCATGCCGTCTCCAATCAGAGCTCCACTGGAGCCTCTGATGTACTCAACGAATCAATCATCTCAGGTGTCGAATAACGGACCATCGATTCAGTCCAGGGTACAATTATCAACCCAAAAATCCATCGATCAGGAAGTACAACTCCCCACTTCGATTTCATCCACTCTCAGACAATCTTTGAATATAATTAATAATCCTGATTCGGGGGCATATTGAATCAGGGCGATTGTCGAACAAATCGTCCTGATCAGATAATTGCGAAAGTGTGACAATTCCCGGCGGACTCGAAATACTAAAAAGCTGCATTTGTCAATTACCGGAAATCAGTCAATCATCACAAGTTATTTTTCAATTTTTGAGAAAATACACTGGCTCATACTCGAGAGTAACAAATTAAATCAAATTATTACGTCTTTCCTAGAACATAAAAATGATCAGCCTGGCAAAATACCGTCAAAAGAAGATAAGTATGGATTTTTAAAGAATCTGCAGCAGGTGACGACTGGACAGTGTTAAGGTAGGGGTAATCAGCGATATGACGATGGCCTAAAATTTTTCTGTTCGTATTTATTCACAATTGGTGGGAGATTAATGTATGAAACATTACACGCGAATTTTCCCATTCCTTCATTAAGTACAATTAGTCGAGTTATTGATGACAGTGCTTGTCATATGACTGAAGGTGTGTGCCGGATTAAGGAATTGAAGAATTTTCTATTGTCCAGAACTTTCCCACTGGTTGTGTTCCTAAGTGAAGATACGACGCGAATTACTGGTCGCATACAATACGATCCTCAATCGAATCAATTAGTGGGATTTGTACTCCCCCTAGACACGAATGGAATGCCCGTGCCAGGTAAATTTTCTGCTACGTCAGCAGGTACAATAGAAAAATTATTTGAATCAGGGAAACCTGCTAGTTTGCTTTATGCCATTATGGCTCAGCCTCTTCAGGATAATACACCCACTTTCTGTTTATTATTATTATTTGGTAGTGATAATAAGTTTAATTATTATGATGTACGTTCTAGGTGGCGTTTTATCATAAAACAATTGAATAACGAAGGTATCTCAGTATTTGGTGTATCATCGGATGGAGATCCTCGACTGTTAAAGGCAATGAGACTTGAATGTGGGCTGGGTACCGAGGAAAATGCTTTGGTAGTTTTATCGGGGACTCATTTGCCTTTTTTTCACACTTTTCTCAACCCAGAAATTATCACTATGCAAGATTTTATACATATTGGAGCAAAATTACGAGTGAGAATGTTAAAGTATTCGATGATATTGCCAATGGGCAATTTTGTCATTTCATCAATTCACTTACAAGTTGTAATGACAAAAGTTTCGAAAGATAAACATTGCCTGAACTCAAAAGACTTATCATTGAAGGATAAAATGAATTATAAATCTGTAGAAAAAATTAGTGACCCAAAAGTGACTGATTTTTTTCGAGAGCACGTCGATGGGAACGATGCTACCGTGATGCTTGCCGTTTGTTCATGAGAGCATATCTAAACAAAGATTTGAAACCTTCAGAGAGAGTATATAACGTATGGTTTTGCATTTTTGAGCTGAGATATTGGACAGTCTGGTTACAGAAGAATAGATATTCAATTATCGATAATTTTATATCTCTTAACACGTATATTTGCATGGAGATTAACGCTCATAATTTGATCAATTGTATATTGAGATTGCAAAGATTTGTTAGCGAGGGGCTATGCTCGTCAGATCAATTATGCACATGGATTTTTGGAAGTCAAGCATGTGAGAGCTTGTTTCGTAGATTGCGATCAATAAGTAGTACTCTGTCAACCATCATCAATTGGTCCCTTCTGGATGCAATCCATAGATTGAGAAGAATTCATTTACAAAAAGATATTACATCCGGGAGCTTGAACGGTACGACAAACCAATTTAATTATCCCCGACTATTCGCGTCAAAATCACGTTTAGTGCAACATTTTGAACATCCAGATGTCAATAAACTCATACAAACGATAGAAATTGCTACAAAAGATGCGTTCGATGCTGTTAAGGAGTTGAACATGGAGATGGAGATTTCGGATTGTTTTAAAATCTCTGTGAAATTGATGGAAAATTAAGAATTCTTTGCTAAAGACCTGGATGGTTTAGATAATGTTGAGGGTGAAAATGATGAAGAGGTGCGGAATGCGGGGGATGAGATTGACTCAACAGAAGAGTTGGCAGAATTGTTGAGAGACTTAACAAATCTTTCTAGTGTTAAAGAATCTCTCGAATTGAGAAGCGTTAATAAGGAGAAAACAAGTCTATCTCCTGAGAGTCCATTTACTATTGTGACACATAAGTCAGGTACAACGTCTGTAATACGTAAATCTTCATTGTGTTGGCTTTTTGATAAAAGACATTCTCAGTTGAGCACTGATAGATTAGAAAGAGTTAAAGAGGCTGAATTGATGAAATACGACAAGACTAGAAAGATTTCAAGCATTGAAAATGAAGGGACTCCCTTCATTAGACAATGTGATGAAATAAACATAGGCGATTGGTGCCTATTCAAGGAAACGAATTAT